CCCCAAAACCCCAAAACCCCGCAATTCAAAGATTTTCATTACAATCGAAATATATATTAAAAACTATAAATATTTATGATAAGATAAAAGGTTTCAAAGGACATTCTTAAACAGTTACTATTATTAAATTTTAAATTTGTCTAGTCTTTGCTGAAATTACAATGCCTTTGAGCTTATTAGATCTATATCTCTTTTAGCTCTCTCTAGCTAGGTCAATTTTGATCTTGTGCAGTTTAGTGATTTACTTTTTTACACTTTCTTTTTTGGAGCTATGCAACTAGACTCTTAGATGTATTGGATTGATTAATCAAGAATATTGTGATGCTGCTATTCATCATAATTCATTGCTTCAAAGTCAGAAAAAGTAGTTTAATTTAATTTTATATTTTTCATCTGATTTCTGAGAGGTGGCGAGAGCTAATAACAGCTATGCTGGTCTTATTAATGAATTATTGGTTGATTACTTTGCATATTTCGAAAACTATTAATTTCAGAGGTTTCAACACATTTATCAACAAGCTATCTACTGCATTAAATTATTGCATTTTTTTGATTAGAAATTTGATTGAACTTCGGTAATTCCTATTGTCTCATTTAATCTTAAATTAATCTGAAATTCATATTTTTGCCATTCATATTATAGCACCTTTATTAATCTTATGTAGCATTGGTACTATTATAATATTAGAATGGGGGTTAAATCTTTTAAATCGTTGAAGTTGTTTAATACTCCTAAGTGTAATCTCTTATTTCCTTATTGATATTTTCAATCTCATTTTCTCTAAAAGTTGAAGGAGATTCTTATATTTCAGATTATTAATCCGAGTAATCTCTATTGATAATGTTGTTTAATTCATGGAGAATCTAATTTACTTCAGACTTTAGAGTTTTAAATTAGAATTTGTCCTTTTCCTTCATACTTCTTAAATTTTCTCTACTTCTCTAAGTTACGTTTGTAGGATTATTTTACTGAACATTCTATTCTATATATCTACATGTTTGTTGTAAAGGCGATCGAGGAGAAAGGGATTTATCATTTTTAGTGATATTTGTGATGTTTCTAACTGAAGGAATAGAATGTTCGAAAATTATCTTTTCAGGAAAAGGCAATTTTCTTTTTTACTTAAATGTTCTATCTGTAGGCTAATCATCCATTTCATAGTCTTCTCAAGTTAAGGTTTCTGCTGGGTTTGTTTATTTTGTTTGCTTTGAATTGGTCTTTAGACAAATTAAATCATCTAGCTAGAATGTATTGAAGTCTATTAGAGAACCATTATTTTAGTAATACTAATTAAATGCAACTATTCTATTCCTTGCCCCAATAGGAATTCCCAACTCAACTAGATCTTATTTTTCAAGTAAAACAAAGTCATTTAAATTATTGACTTCTTAATCTTTAAATACCCTTTAGTATTTCTTTAAATCTAAGCATTCCAAAATCCTATCAATCATCGATTTGCTATATGCCTGTTTCGAATTTTAATGGGAACTCTTAACCTGAAAATCCATTTATGGAGTTATGGTTGTATCTCCAAAAGAGCATAATGCATATTCAACAAAACTTTATTATGGACTTGGACCAGCTGTTGTAATAATATAAGAATCTTGAGGAATTAATACTTATCTTTAGCCTTAGTAATCTTTTTTATTGGTGGTGTTCAGTCGTCTATTATCTTTTTCCTCTGTTAAATCAAATTACATTTAGCTATCGTTTTTCACCTTTTAATAGATTGAGGATTTGATTGTTGACTCAGACAAATGATCTCTGCAGTCTTATCTATATTTTTCATTGACTTCTTTAATTTAACTTAACACATTTTCAGTGTGCTCTTTTAAAGCATTATTAAATCCATTTGAATTCATAAATGTCTGATTAGATTAAACACTCATGTTATAATGAGGTGTTTATAAGGATTATTAATGCAACTGACATTACTACATTTTTAGATTTTGAATGTACTTCTCGTAAGCAGAATCTGTATTATAGTTAGAATATGAATCATTTCTTCCATCCAAGATATTTGGGCTAGGTTGATTTCGGCAAAATTCTTCCAGATAGTGTTTAAGATTATAATTTTAGGAGGGCTAAACAGACTAAATAGTATCGGAATTGAATCTTCTCTGAGATAGCTATCTTTTATTGCTCATTTTATAAATTTTAATTTAATTAATCTCCTCAACGGCTTTTTGTTTCGTTTTAATTTTATTGCTAAACTCTCTTGGTAAATAATGCTTCAAGGGGTTTTGGGGTTTTGGGGTTTTGGGG